CCAAAGCCAGGAACAGGGAACTCAATCCAATTCTCCCACTTTGGGGAAAGAGATCCAAGCACTTGAGTCATTACCTGCCTCCCAGGGTGCACATTAGCAGGAAGTTGGAAAATTGACAGCAGGGTCAGGACTCCAACCTAGGCCTCCAATAGGGGATGTGGGTATTCCAAACAGTGTCTTAGCTGCTGCGCTAAACACCTGTCCCAAATTTTGGTAATCGTAAATAAAGCTGTTAAAAACATATGCATGCAGCTTTTTGCCGTGGACATCAGTTTTCCTGATGTAATACCAAGAAGCAATTATCTTATTGTAGTAAAATATACATAACATAGAATTTACTATTTCATATTTATATTTAAAGTGTACAATTTAGGGGTAGGTGGTGCAGGGGTTAAGCTGTTCCTTGGGATGCCTACATCCCATATCAGAGTTCCTATGTTCAATTTCTGGATCCATTTCCAAGTCCAGCTTCCTGCAAATGCACAACCTGGGAGGCAGCAGATGATGGCTCAAATACTTGGGAGACTCAGATTCAGTTCCAGCTTCCTGGCTTCGGCCTAGCCCAGCCCTGGCTGTTGTGAGCTTTTTGGGAATGAACTAGAGGATTGGAGAGCATTCTCTTCCTCTGTCTGCTTTCCAAAGAAAATTTTTAAAAATAAATAAAAATGAGAGGGCTGGCACTGTGGCATGTTGGCTTAAGCTTCCACCTGCGTCACCCGCAACCCAATTGGGTGCTGTCTGCTCCACCTCTGATCCAACTTCCTCATAATGGACCTGGAAAAGCAGTGGAAGATGGCCCTTGGGCTCCTGCACCCACATGGAAGATCCAGAGGGAATTCTGGGCTTCTGGCTTTGGCCTGGCCTAGCTCTGGCCATTGTAGGCTTTTGGGGAATGAACCAGCAGATGGAAGATCACTCTCTCTCTAACTCAGTCTTTCAAATAAATAAATCTTTAAAAAATAAAAATTTAAAAATGAAGTAAAATGTACATGCAATTCAATGGCATTAAGTACATTCACAATAATACCACTATCTGGTTTCAGATTTTTTGCAACACCACAAATGAGAATCCCCTACCCATTAGGCAGTCTTCAAGGATTAATTTTAAATTTAATTAAAATTGAATCTCTCATTTATACTAGTTACATTTGAAGTACTCAGTAGCCTTATGTGACTAGTGGCTAGTGGTATGGAGTACCAGGTCTAATAGAAGAGGATTAGAGGCAGAGAAAACAGCAAATACAAAGCCCTTTGATGCAGGAATGCACCCTTTTCAAAGAATTCCTAGAGTACAAAGAACAAGAGGTAAGGAATGTGATCATCAAGGTAGACAAGAATGAAGTCCTTACTTTTCAGAGGGAAGACTTTATTTTAAGGGTTATGGGAAATCTGTCATTTTAAGTAATCACTGGCTGTCATGTTGAAAAGAGTGAAGGGTGAAGCAGAAAGACTTCAAGGCTCTTAGAGTACTCCAGGTGAGAGGTGATGGTTCTTGAACTAGGGAGATAGTTGGGGTAGTGAGAAATGTTTGGATTCAGGATATGCAGTCATCGCTCAGTATGACAGAGAGATTGGTTCCAGAATCCCCTCTGGATCCCAACTTCCACAGATGCTGAAGTCCCACATGTAACATAGCATTGTGTTTGCATATCACCTAAGCAATCCTCCTGTATATTTTGATCACTTAAATTACCTTATACAATGTAAATGCTATGTAATTAGTTATTATATTGTATTGTTTTGGGAATAATGACAAGAAATAGTCTGTGCATGTTTAGTACAAATCCAATTGAAAAATATTTTGTGGCATAAAGGGTTAAGCTGCTGCTTGCAATACTGGCTTCCCATGAGGGCACAGGTCTCCTCCCGGCTGTTCTGCTCTGATCCAGCTCCCTGCTCATGAGCCTGAGAAAGTAGCAGAAGATGGCCCAGGTGTTTGGGCCCCTGCACCCCTGTGGGAGACCAGGATGAAGCTTCTGGTTGTTGGCTTCTGAAGGGTCTGGCTCTGGCCGTTGCAGCCATTTAGGGATTGAAACAGCAGATGGGGGAATCTCTCTTTTTGTATCTCCCTCTCTAACTCTGAAAACAAAGACAAAACAAAACAAAATAAAACAAAACAAAACATATTTTCAGCCCATGGTTGGTTGAATCTATTTATTATGCTTTATAATGCATTGGACATGGGTTATGAGTAAGGAAAACTGCATTCAGTAAGATGGAGAACACTGAAGGAGAAGCAAGTCTGAGAATAAAGAGTTCAGCTTTGCCTGTTAAGTAATTAAGTGCCATTGCCATTAAGTAATTAAAGTATTGGAGCAAAATGCAATTCTGATATTTCAATATTTAGTGTATTACTGCTTTAGTGAATTATAATGAAATGAAAACATATAAAAAAATTTTTTTTATTTGATAGGTAGAGATTAGACAGTGAGAGAGAGAGAGAAAGGTCTTCCTTCTGTTGGTTCACTCCCCAAATGGCTGCTACGGCTGGCACGCTGTGCCGATCTGAAGCCAGGAGCCAGGTGCTTCTTCCTGGTCTCCCATGCGGGTGCAGGGGCCCAAGCACTTGGGCCATCCTCCACTGCACTCCCGGGCCACAGCAGAGAGCTGGACTGGAAGAGGAGCAACCGGGACTAGAACCCGGCACCCACATGGAATGCCGGCGCTGCAGGCGGAGGATTAACCAAGTGAGCCACAGCGCTGGCCCCTACATATAAAATATTAATAATGAATTATGAAGTACATATGTCTATATTTCAGGTAAAAGGTAAATATATTTTATATACAGGTTGAGTATCCCTTGTCTGAAAAGCTTGAAAATAGAGTGTTTCAAATTTCAGGCTTTTTCAGATTCTGAGATATCTCCATATACATAATGAGATATTTTGGGGATTGGAACCTAAGTCTAAACACAAAATTTTATTATGTTTCATATGCAGTTTCTATAGAGTCTAAGTGCATATGTGTTTTGATTCTGCCCTATCACATGAAGTGTGGAATTTTCTTTTTTATATGAATTTTTGTAATATTTACTTATTTGAAAGAAGTACAGAAAGAGAGGGAGAGATGGAGATCTTACATCTGCTGGTTCACTCCCCAGATGGCTGCAATGGCCAGGGATGGGCCAGGAGCCAAGAGCTTCATCCAGGTCTCCCATGTAGGTGGCAGAGGCCCAGGCATGTGGGCCATCTTCTACTGCTTTTTCCATGCCATTTATAGGGAGCTGGATGAGAACGGAACAGCTGCGACTTGAACTGGCGTCCATGTGGAATGCCAGCACGGCAGGCAGCAGCTTTACCCTTTGCATAACAACGTCCGCCTGTATCTATCTTCCTTCCTTCCTTCCTTCCTTCCTTCCTTCCTTCCTTCCTTCCTTCCTTCCTTCCTTCCTTCCTTTTTTCCTTCCTTCCTTCCATCCAAGATTTTATTTATTTATTTGAGAGGTAGAGTTACAGACAGTGAGAGGGAGAGACAGGAAAGTCTTCCATCCATTGGTTCACTCTCCAAATGGCCACAATGGCCAGAGCTTCGCCGATCCGAAGCCAGGAGCCAGGTGCTTCTTCCCAGTCTCCCACGTGGGTGCAGAGGCCCAAGGACTTGGACCATATTCTACTGCTTTCCCAGGCCACAGCAGAGAGCTGGATTGGAAGAGAAGCAGCCGGGACTCGAAGTGGCGCCCATATGGGATTCTGGCACTGCAGGCAGAGGATTAACCCACTGTGCCATGGCACTGGCCCATCTTTTTCTTTTTAAAGATTTATTTATTTGGAAGGTAAAGTTACAGAGAGGCAGAAGCAGAGGCAGAGAGAGAGAAATTTTCCGTCCTCTGGTTCACTCCCAAATGGTTGCAATGGCTGAGCCAGGCCAATCTGAAACCAGGAGCCAGGAGCTACTTCCGGATCTCCCAAGTGGGTGCAGGGGCCCAAGGACTTGGGCCATCTTCCACTTCCTTCCCAGGTGCATTAGCAAGGCAGCTGGATCAGAAGTGGAGCAGCCGGGACTTGAATGACACCCATATGGGATGCCAGCACTGCGGGCGGTGGCCTTACCGTAACGCTACGCCACACCAGCGGCCCCTTGTGTGTTTTCTACATGTAGTTTCATGATGGTACTCAAAAAGTTTTGGATTTTGGATATTTAACCTACACCTTGGAATAAAGGACATATTAAAAGACTATTGGTATTTCTATTACATGACTTTGTGAACACCTTGTTAATGTTTCAGATTGCAGTTTTGAATGGTTTAAAAAAGTAGGTAAAAATGCATGCTACTAGTTTTTTTCCTATAACCACTGTCTTGCATCTAAATATAATTTTTTTTTACTGGTTCATTTATTTGAAAGGCAGAGTTACAGAGGGAGAGAGGAGAGGAGAGCAGAAGAGAGGGGAGGGAGGGAGGGAGGGGGAGAGAGAGAGAGAGAGAGAGAGATCTTTCATCAGCTGGTTCACTCCCCAAAAGGCTGTTGTAAGGTCCCGGGGGGGGGGGGGTTTCGGCACCAACGTAAGGCTGCCACAAAACACACCAGACACCTGAGTAGGGGAGAGTTTATTGGGGGAAACCCAGCAGGCCGGAGGGAAAAGGTGAGGAAGGAAAAGAGAGAGGAGAGACGAGAGAAGAGCGTGAGCAGGAGAGAGGAGCTGAGAGAGAGGAGCGAGAGCAGAGGAGACTAGAGAGAGAGGAGGGGAGAGAGGAGCACCACGTGTTCAGGAACAGGTCCTTTTAAAACGTTGCCGTAGGGCGGGCAGGGAAGCAGGAGCAGTGAATCCCGTCAGGAGGGGGATGGGGCTGACATGGTGGTTGGGCCATGTGGCCACCTAGCTTCCAGCATGGAGGTGGGGGCTAGAGCCTAGGATGTTGTCAGGGTGTAGATCGCGCCATAGATAAGACTGTGTCATTTTCCTAACAGCCTGAGCAGCGGGAGCTTGGCTGATGGGAAGCCAAGAGCCAAGCGCTGGCCCTATTTTTTTTCTTTTTAAGGTTTATTTATTTGAAAGGCATTGTGACAGAAAGAGGAAAATAGAGAGAGCTTCCATCCGTTGGTTCACACCTCAAATTCCCCTAACAGCCAGGGCTGGGCTAGGCTGAAGCCAGGAGCCAGGAACTCCATCTGTCCTCCATGTGGGCGGCAAGAATCCAAGTACTGAAGCCATGATCTGCTGCCTCTGAGGGTGCACATTAAGCAGGAAGCTGGATCGTAAGCGGAAGAGCTCTGGAACTGGCAATCTGCTTTGGAATGCGAGAGTCCCAAGTGGTGGTTTAATCCATTGCCCCACAATGCCCGCCCCTCAATAATTAAATCCTGGACGAATAATGAAAGTGGCCTAGGATTTTTTGTTAAAAGATAATGCTCTTCCAACCACTAGGACTAGCCGTTTCGGATACATTTTCTGTTGGAGCTGGCCGTCCCTTGACCCAGGCTTGCAGGTACACGCTGTTTGAAAGATCTGAGTTCTCAGCTTGTAGCCCTACCGCCTACATCACGTGGAATCCAAGGGCGTGAATCTGACGACTGATCCAAGGAGCCACTACTCTCTGCCTTCCAGTCAGTGAGCCGGAAAGAACACCTTCAGGGGCCGCTGGGATCCCAGGAAAAGATGCGTGATCCGGTTTTTACTCGCCCCAGGCAGCGCTCTCCACAAACCACCTCCTCCAGCGCGCCAAGCCGTTAGCCCCGCCCGGTCCAGCTCGGCTCCACCCATCTGGCGCGCCCACGGGTGCTAAACCTAGCCGCCAGGGAACGCGACGCATTCCCAAGCTCCGCCTCCGGGGCCAGGGCGCGCTCCCCCTCCCTGCTCGGCCTAAGCAGTTCCGTTAGCAGCCGGAGGAAAAACCGTCCTTTCGGGTCCCCGCCTCTACTAACGCTTTACTCCCTACTCCCCCTGCGACCACTCCACAGGCGGCTACGGAGGCCCCTGAAGTACACATATCCCCCAGGCCCCGGCGCAGCCTGACAGGTTTTGTCCTTTCCTACCCCCTCCAGCCCTAAGGACCAATGTTCAATCTCTGCCAGGAACCCGGACTCGAGAGTTTGTTCGGGCTTCAGCAGCTTCGACATTCTTCACGGAAGTAAAAGTGGTTTGGTGGTGTTCCCCCCGCCCCCGCCCCCACCTCCTGCTGTAGCCGCCCGCATTCCTCCCCTCCCACCTCGCAGAATTGTGGCGGGAGGGGGAGGAGGAAGCTAAGGCGCCTGCGCGGAGAGGCCGCTTTCCATCCGGGTCCCTGTTCGTGCGGTGCAGCAGGTCGGTAGGCGGGAAATGGCGACTGGCTGAAGGAGCTGGTTCTGTTGCTGCTGCGGGCTACGCGGGAAAGACACCACACATTGCGCAGTCGGAACCATTGCCGGAGACCGAGGACACTTCTCTGTCGTCACAGTTAGGTAAGTCCCTTCGTCCAGACGCTGCCTCTGCTCCCAGCCTCAGTCCTCCTCTTCCAGGGCCGTCTGCCGGGATCTCCTCCCCTTCTCAGCCCGGTCCTCCAGCGGCTCCGGCGCCTTGGTAGGCATGCACTGTTGGCGCCTCATACTTCCACTGTGTGGAGCCGCTGTTCTCTGGACTTTCCCCTGGGAACGGAAAGGGAGCTCACTTCCCGCCAGCTTCAGCTCAGAGGCTGCGGCCTGTGTTGTGATTTCTGGGGTTAGATTTCACTTCGCTACCCACCCCCACCCCGATCTCACGTTCCTAGTCCCCAACCTTGTGGTCCCTGTGGGGAATTAAGTTAGAAGATCAGCCTTGCTAACCTTCTTGATCCACTTGGTTTTTTCAGTGTTTCATTCTTTCTAGTGGGGTGCTTATGGGGGGCGTTGCTGTGTCTCACTGATTATAAACACCTTTCGAGAGTCGGGGAGAAGGGATTTCATAAAGTCCTGTTTATCTATTGTACTGTTAAAATACTGAGTTGACATGGTTACTTTTTCAAATCAAGAGTGACAGTGAGGAACAGCTCATGTGGAAGGCCCCTGGTGTTCATGGTGGTCATTTAAGGGTGAATTTTATTATATTTCATATTCTCAGCTTCCTTTGGGTATCACATGCCTGCATGTATGTTTACATTTGCCTTCTTGACCAGAATTCTATGGTAAATAAGTGCATAAGTAAATTGTGTTTACTTCTCACCCTAGTGGTGGCTCGATGTGTGAATGATGTTAAGCACTTTAAGAGTACCTTAGGGAAGTCTAAAAGATACTGCTTGTAAACTTTCCCAAGATCCTGAAGTGAAATGCACTTAGTAGACGTTCCTCCAAGGCAGGGATTTATCTTTGTAATGCTAATAAAGCAGTACCAAGATTACTGCCCTGTGTGGCTATACAAATTAGTGACTTGAAATGATAGATTTATCTGTATAATTTTCAGCTTGTAGATTGCTCTTTATTCTGTCTTTCCCTTCTTTTCATTTGTGATACAGCTGTTATCCTAATAAAAGCAGAGAAATGACAAGTTAAAACTAGTTTAACTCACCCCCCCCCCTTTACCATTTTAGATCAGTTATCTATGAAGATGTTGGTGTTTTTCAGAATGTTTCAGTTGTGTTGGATTTGGAGTCTTTCTAGGTTTTTTCACTAATCGGACTAAATTTCAAAAATTCATATAACCTGCCAATTGACATTAATACTCAACCTTTTAGCTCAGTTTGGAGAACTTCACTATTGTTAGCATGATATTAGAGTGAAAATTCCTTAATAAACAGGAACACAAAAAATCGTTGTAGTCCTCATTTGGTAGACTTTGCCCAAGGTCATAAAGAAAGTCAAGACAAATGTAGCTCTTATGTAAGGCAGTCTTTTAGGATTGAATTAAACTTCATACTTCTTTTCTAGGATCAGTAGAATAGGGGGTGGAAAATGGAGGTGTGGGCATGTTTGAAACTTGCTGAGTTAATTTATGTCAATAAATGGGAAAATATGTGATGTAAAGGGATCCAAGATGTAGTTACATCTAATGCAGGCTTTTTATTTTTATTACCTTTTTGTGTAGTTTATAAATTGTTATTTTTCAAGTAACCGTGAGCATTGTAGATTATGTCTTTGAGGATTCTACCAGATTGTTTAGTTCTGCGTTCATTCAGTACCTTTGCTCTTTTAACACTCAGCATTGGTTGAAGGCTGTAAGCGGTGTGGTCCTTAGCTTTTGTAGACTTGTAGCTGTATAAAAATTCCAAATAGGATTGCTACATTTTACAATATTCCCTTCTGATTGTGGCTCTTGGGAATTTTCTTTCAGCTATTAATGTTACTTTTTCCACTGTTAAAGAGATTAGGAATTGGGGAAGTTTTAACTTTCCCAAATTCATTTAGCTAATTCTAAGCTTGTGTTTTTGGTCAGGTAGTTTTTCATGAGATTATTATATAATAATAGAATTCAGTTCTAGTTAAAGAAACGGGGGCCAGTTGTTCAGAAAGGATATACTAGACTATACTGAACCACAGAATTAATTGCCAATTGAGTAAAGTGGTATTAAATTATTTTAGTCTTAGGAGACTATGCTTTGGGTTAATGAGATAAAGAATCAAGTGGTTTGCCAGAATTTGAAAAAAGCAATATTTAATTACAGCTATAATTTACCAAGTTGCTAAGTAGCAGCCCCCCATGAACTTTTTGCAGATCCCTTGGATGCATGGAATTCAAGATTTTTTGTGCTAAAATAATCTTACCTTTAAATTATATTTTCCGTGTACATTTTTCCATGTACATTTTCAGCCAAAGGAAGAAAATATTCTTTCAATACCATATAAACTGCTGTGACTAAATTATTATTAATTTTTAAAGATTTATTTATTTATTTCAAAGTCATAGTTAGAGGTCTTCCATCTGATTCACTCCCCAGTTGGCCGCAACGGCTGCCGCTGCACCGATCCGAAGCCAGGAGCTTCTTCTGGGTCTCCCACTTGGGTGCAGGTGCCCAAGTCCACCGGCACCGGCACCCCGGGTTCTAGTCCCGGTCGGGGTGCCGGATTCTGTCCTGGTTGCTCCTCTTTCAGTCCAGCTGTCTGCTGTGGCCTGGGAGGGCAGTGGAGGATGGCCCAAGTGCTTGGGCCCTGCACCTGAGTTGGGAGACCAGGAAGAAGCACCTGGCTCCTAGCTTTGGATTGGTGTAGCTCTGGCTGTGGCGGCCATTTGGGGGGTGAAGCAACAGAAGGAAGACCTTTCTCTCTGTCCCTCTCTCTCTCACTGTCTATCTGTCCAAAAAAAAAAAAAAAAAAAAAAAAGGCATCAGAAAGATACAAATAAAGTTAGGCATTGGCAATTTTAAAAAAATTGTACTACATGGTCAGTCACCTAGTCTACCTAGTTGTAATATAGGTCCGATTATAACTATGGATTACATTAAAGATTACCATAGTCTGGATGTGGGCATTTTGGCATAGTGGTTAAGACATGACTTGGGATACTATCAGCACATATCAAAGTACCTGGGTACTACTTTTGACTCTACCCCTATTTCCAGCTTCCTGCTAATGAATACCCTGGGAGGCAGCAGGTGATGGCTTAAGTAGTTAGATCCTTGCCACCCATGTGGAAGACCTGGATTAGGTTCCAGGCTTTTGGGATGGCTTGGCCTGGCCCGGCCCTGCCTGTTGTAGGCATTTGGGAAGTAGATGTGTGGATGGGAGCACGTACTTGCTTGTATTCTGTCTCTCTGCCTCTGTCTCTCTGCTTTAAAAAAAAAAATTTTTTTTTTTAATTAATTAATTTGAAAGGCAGAGTTACAGAGAGGCAGAGAGAGAGAGGTCTTCAATCTGGTGGTTCACTCTCCAGATGGTCACAATGGCTGGTGCTTCGCCTCTCTGAAGCCAGGAACCAGGAACTTCTTTCAGGTTTCCCACGTGTTTGCAGAGGCCCAAGGACTTGAGCCATCTTCTTCTGCTTTCCCAGGCCATAGCAGAGAGCTTGATCAGAAGTGGAGCAGCCAGGACTTGAACTGGCACACATATGAGATGTCAGCACTGCAGGCAGCAGCTTTATGTGCTACACCACAGCGCTGGCCCCTATTTTTATTTATTTGAAAGGCAGAGTTACAGAGAGAGGTAGAGACAGAGAGAGAGAGAGAGAGAGAGAGAGAGAGATTCCATTTGCTGGTTCATACTCCAAATGGCTGCACAGACTGGGATTGCCAGGAGCCAAGAGCTTCTTCAGGGTCTCCCATGTCAGTGTAGGGGCCTAAACACTTGGGCCACCCTCTGCTACTTTCCCAGGCACATGAGTATAGGGAACTGGATTGGAAGTGGAGCTGCTGGCACTCAAACCAATGCCTATATGGGATACTGATGCTACAGGCCGGGGCTTTAACCCACTTAACCACAGCACTGGCCCAATGTTGTCTGCCTTTCAATAAACAAATTTTAATAATTTATAAGGGGCAGGTGTTGTGGCACAGCAGATGAAGCCCCTGCTTGGAATGCCTCCTTCCTTTTTTTTTTTTCTAATTTTTTTTTAATTTTTAACAGGTAGAGTGGACAGTGAGAGAGAGACAGAGAGAAAGGTCTTCCTTTTGCCGTTGGTTCACCCTCCAATGGCCGCCGCGGCCGGTGCGCTGCAGCCGGCGCATCACGCTGATCTGAAGCCAGGAGCCAGGTGCTTCTTCCTGGTCTCCCAACTTGGGTGCAGGGCCCAAGCACTTGGGCCATCCTCCACTGCACTCCTGGGCCATAGCAGAGAGCTGGCCTGGAAGAGGGGCAACCGGGACAGAATCCGGCGCCCCGACCAGGACTAGAACCCGGTGTGCCGGCGCCGCAAGGTGGAGGATTAGCCTATTGAGCCATAGCGCCGGCCGCCTCCTTTCCATATTGGAGTGCCTTGGATCAAGTCCCAGATCTGCTTCTGATCTAGCTTCCTGTTAATGTGCTTGGAGGGCAGCAAATACTTGGGCTCCTGCCACTCAGATGGGAGATGGGGTTTCTGGTTCCTGGCTTTGGCCTGTTCCAGCCTCAGCTCTTGGGAGCTTTTGTGGAGTGAACCAATGGATTGAAGAACTTTCTGCCTCTCGCTTTTCTGTCTCAAAAAATAAAAATATTAGGGGCCAGCACTGTGGCGTAGCGGGTGAGGCTGCCATCTGCAGTGCTGGCGTCCCATATAGGCACTGATTTGAGTCCCAGCTGTTCTACTTCCAATCCAGCTCTCTGCTGTGGCCTGGAAAAGCAGTGGAAGATGGCTCAGGTCCGTGGGCCCCTGTACCTGCGCTGGAGACCCAGGAGAAGCTCCCGGCTCGTTGGCTTCAGATCATTGCAGCTCTGGCCGTTGTGGCCATCTGGGGAGTGAAGCAGTGGATGGAAGACTTCTCTCTCTCTCTGCCTCTCCTCTTTCTTTTTCTTTTTTTTTTTTTTTTAAAGATTTTATTTATTTATTTGAAAGTCAGAGTTACACAGAGAGAAGGAGAGGCAGA